ACAAGAGCAGCCAGTGGACGGCGAAAATCTACCAGGTCACTAGCTTGCCACCTGGGTGAGATGGAAACTCATTTGCTTGGTCGGTTGGGATCTCTCGAGGAGGAGAGATACATGGGCTTCTTGCTCGTATAAAAAAAGTGGATAGAATGAGAGAGGAGAAGACCACTTTTTAGGTGGAAATGACATTTCTTCGCGAAGAGTTGTTGCTCGTTCGAGAGAATGACTTGATATCCCACGCTCAAGCCGTTAGAGGAGAATTTAACTATAAACTACTGCTTCAACAGAGGTTTGTTTTGACCAAAGTAATGGATGAACTCCTTGTAAAATATTTTTTCTCGTCTTAGCTCTAAAGCATTTTCTATAACTTGTCATGATTATTTTTGGAATAAAATTTATCTTCTTTTCTCAATTCTTGTGTTGACATGATCTTCCTTCGAGTGAGCTCTCAATTTTGCATTTACCCTCAAGCAATATTTCAACTTCCCTATAAATATAAATAAGGGTAAAGGGTTTTGACCGGCGCTACAATTTTACTGTTTTCTTCTCTCGCTTCCTCTTGTTTCTTCAACTCTGTAATCTTTGTGCTCCAGTTCGGATTGCTCCAAAGTCTTCTCCCAAGGTCTTCTGGTCAACCATTACGATCGACCGATCCACATTGACTCAGGGGCAGGTGAATATTTTGCAAAAGACTTGTGTCTTCGATTGTTCCATCAAACTTTGAGTTGCCGGTGAGAACTACTGAACCATCACTCTGTTTGGCTCTGATCTTTTCTTCTATAAAGATAAGTTTCACTTTGGTTATAGGCTGCCACTCTACCGAGAGCTGCGGGCAATATTCAACTACTATGGAGTCATCATGGCCCAAATCCTGTAGAACTCCATTGTCGTTATCCTGACCTTCATAGTTTGGGGTGGACAGAGCTCTTCGCCTACCTATTCTCATTTCGAGTTTGTTAGGATGGATTCACCCAGTTTTCATTCCATGGCAGCTTCTAGCTGCCCTAGAATAATGCGAAGGACTGTAAATTATGGTTTTGCATCGATTCTTCCCTAAAGGGCTGGGCCATCCCAATCATTTGATCTGACGGTCCTCCTGCCAAGTTCTAGAAGGCGTTGGCTCAAATCTTGGAGGAAGCAGCGGAGGTTAAAGGGTGGTTGTTTTCAATCCATCAGTTCCTTGAGCTAACGGTAGTTAAAATGGTACTGCAACTGAAGACTTATTACTAAATGACTTGGTGGACTCTGATGCCTGGGAAGCCGAGCGAGAGGCAATGAAAACTTCCTGAGCTGAAAAGAAGATAGTCTGAAAGGTTGGGATAGCCGCATCTGCTTTCTTTGAAGTGCTATGGTGCTCGACCATGAGATGACCAAGGTAGTCCTCGTTGGAGAAAACACTGAAGGTGCATAAATGATTTATTCTACTTTAGCTTCATCTATTATTTTCGAAGAATCACCACCGAAAAGAAATAAAAGCTACAACAGTGCCTACAAATTAGGGTCTTTTTGGGGCGGCTGCAGTAGCTGATCCAGATAAACTGATTGACTTTTTAGTTTGTGATCTTGGAAAATAGCTTGTAAAACAACTGTTTCTGGATAAATGACAATTCTGCGCCTGTGGAGTTATGTTGTTTATAACAGAACTGTCATAATAATATATTTAGCACTTGCAAAACAAAAATTCACTTTATAACAATACAAAAATAAGATATATACCTCATTTAACAGTGAATATTAAGATTGCTAAAAAAATAAAAAAAAGTTATTAAAATTACATTTAAAAATATGATAATATTAATTTTAAAATGCAGACGGTGTATGTCCCGAGCTACGTCATCCTCTAGGGATATCATCTAACCTCGATCACTATCGATAGTTAAATTTTTTGAATTGTTTGCCCATCAGAAGAAGTCACACTTCTCTGTGATGCTCTACGAGCACCTGTCGAACAGTCTCTCGTAGCTATGTGCCCGACATGACGTGAGTAGGAAAGTCTGTAGTTCGTAGTGGCAGAGCATTCGTCGGGAGGTCCCTGAAATCCTGGAGCTCATCTTCACTGAAAGATTCAAGTGAGAACTGAGATGAAATTTAGAAAAAAAATATACAAGGAAATGGAAATAATCAAAAATTGTTTTGAATAAGCAAGCATAAATTGATAAAAAAATAATTAATTACAGCATTGTGCAGGCGTGGTGTCTCAGGGAACTCACTACACCAACCAACGAATCTGCCAATACAAGAAGAAAGTAGATCTTATAAAAAAACGGGCTTTTGGTTACTTTTAGCTCACGTAAAACTAAACACTTTTGTGTAACATCTGCATATCACCAAAAAAGGTCATTCATAAGGTCCTCATAAATTGCTGCACTGAAAAGAAAAGAGAAGAACTAGGTTACCTTCATTAGGATTTCACATGCGACACTAACCAACAACGATCAACAAACCATCCAGAAGAACTCATAAGGTCAAATGTTTCATCATGAATCTCTCAAACTCATTAAAAAAACAAATGAAATGCAAATGAAAAAAAATAATGACAAGCACCGTGAAAATTACAAAATAAAAAATATCAATAATACAAGTGACATACAATAAACATAGACTTTATAAAATAAACAAGAGTCATCCAATCAACATCCAACAATAGCGTCTGTGATATGCTCTCTCAATTCAACCATTTCCGCAACACCTTTGCCATCCTGGGTTTAACCTTCCTGTGATTTCGCTTTTGACTGTGGTATAAATTGTCCTTCGTGATATTCAAAAGCTTCAAGTGAGATTTGTTAGTGGTCATCATCAGCCATTTTGGAGTCTACATCAGCTCGAGAATGATGCTGTCGAATGTAGTTGTGGAGCGTCATTATAGTCACAATAATATGCACTTGTTTCAGAAGTAGATACGTCGGCATATCACGCAGTATGACTCATTTCTTTTTCAACACTCCAAACATTCTTTCAATTAGGCCACGTAAGGAGGAATGACTTTTATTAAGCATTTCCTTCCTGCCCCGAGCAACATTGCTGGATTTTTTATTAAACATTTCATTCCAGTTATCGCAAAAGTAAAACACGTGTTGAAGTCACATATGACAATCACATTTTGTGTGGTGATCCACACCATCCAATTTATGAGACATTTTTTCTTTTTCTCCACCCTAAGACGCTTTAACCGACACGTGAACTCCAACTCCTTTCTGTTTAGGCTGGGGCCTTCACAGGACCCATTACCTGCTCGGTCTGCAATTTCTCTGGTATGCTTGCAAACACATGCTATGCAAACACTGTCTGCAATGCACAGACAAGTTTATTGCTTAAAACAACTTAGTTGGATAAATTATGGAAAAAAGAAGTAATCATTGGATAGGTTATTATCTCTAATTTCTCAGTCCACCAGTCCTCCAAAACATTTTATATTCGCTTCATTGGATCCCAACTTAAGCCCGTGGATCCCTATTTTATTTCCTTTTATAATTTTCAATCCTTATTCAACTAATTCCACTTGTTCTTAAATTTCAACCTATCGTAGTCCCTTCCTGTCATTTTTTTGAACTTCTTCATAATATTATGTCTCACTTGTTACAATATGTGGTAGGTCTATTTTCTAGCTCAACATCCTTAAGAAAATGGTCACAAAATATGATTGTGACTTCCCTATCCCATATGACTGATGATCCGACTTCTTTGCTCTTAACCGTTGCATTATTACCAAAGAAAAAACAAAACATTACTATTTCAGATCAACCAGAGAAGAGACGATAGCCATCAACCAACCCCCAACACTTTATTCCCACAACCACAATGAACCACAATGAACCACAAATCCTTCCTATATTTCATTTGAAGCTATTACATATAGGTCAACACCACCAGCACACTAACAAGCCACCACCACCATCACTCCCATAGATACATACCAGCACCACCACAACAACACTACCACAAACCCTCACAATCACACACACACCCACAAAACCGCCACAGCCACCACCCAACACACCTTCCACCACACTAACAAGCCACCACCACCATACTAACAAGCCACCACGAGCATCACTCCCAAACATACATACCAACACTACTACAATAACACTACCACAAAACCCTATAGTCACACACACACCCATAACCCCAACAACTGCCACCCAACACACCACCACCACACCAACATGCCACCACCAACACAATAACAAGCCACCACCACCATCATTCCCATACATACATACCAACACAACCACAACAACATTACCACAAACCCCCACAGTCACACACACACCCATGAAACCCCCACAACCACCACCCAACACACCTCCACTACTACACCAACAAGCCACCATCACCACACTAACAAACCACCATCACCATCACACCCATACATACACACCAACACCACCACAACAAGGCTACCACAAACCCTCACAGTCACACACACACCCACAAAACCCCCACAACCACCACCCAACACACCTCCACCACCATACCAACAAACCATCACCACCACACTAACAAGCCACCACTACCATCACACCCATGCATACACCAACACCACCACAACAACACTACGACAAACCCCCACAACCACACATACATACCACACCACCACAATAACACTACCACAAACCCCCATAGTCACATAGCACCCACAAAACCCGCACAACCACCACCCAACACGCCTCCACCACCACACAAGCAAGTCACCACAACCACATTAACAAGCCATCACCACCATCACTCCCATGCATACATACCAACACCACCACAACAACACTACCACAAATACCCATAACTTCAACACAAAAACCACCTAACACACCTCCACCACACACCAGCAAGCCACCATCACCCCACTAACAAGCCACCGCCAAATGCGATAGGGCAACCCTCCAAGACCAACATACTATAGAACTACAAATGCAATAGGGCAACCTAATAAGGTAACCCGCCAAGAGTAACCTTTCATAGGGAAACCGACAAAGATCAAAGACCAACATACCATAGAACAACAAATACAACAGGGCAACCCACAACAGAAAATTGAGCATCAAATGCAACAGGGAAACCCGATAAGGCAACCCACTAAGATCAACCTTCCATTGGGCAACCCACAAAGATCAAAGATCAACAGACTATAGAACAACTAATGTAACAAGGAAACCCACAACAGAAAATGGAGCATCAAATGCAACAGTGCAACCCACAAAGACCAACAAACCCTGAAAAAAAAAAGAGCAACCCAACCTCCAAATGTTGCAGCGAAAAGGAAATTCCAAGTTTGACCCATTTGAACTAGAAACTAGATGGAGCAAACAACCATAAACCAAAAAGATAAAGCCATTGAACCAACACATATAAGGGAAATTCCATTCCATTCCTTTTAGGGGCCACAAACCACAATAAGCAATAAGCAAGCCAAAGACCACAAACCACAATAAGCAATGTTTAACAAGACAATAATAGAATGAACTCCGCTTTGAAATTCGTTTGGATAATTACATACATAGCACCCGAAATATTGTTATTTACAAAATTTTTCTCCCATGTGATATGTTTGAACTATCGAATCAATGTATTTGCGTGTGCTATGATCAAACCATTGAGGAGTTGATAAAAATAAAAAAAATATGGGTTCCAGTTCTATAATGAATTTTGATATTTGAGCCAGAATTTGAAAAATGAATGAAAAAGGATGTTTGATTGTAAATACAAATCTTTTTGGGTGCTTTATGTAAACAGCCCTTTCTACTTATATATGAGAGGATTGAGACTTTGACTCTATAGAGAAGAAGCATAAATTTAGCCTCAACAATCTGCATCAAAGGTGAGAAAGGACTCGTTCAGATCATCGATAAAGCATTAGTTTCTAGCATATTTCTGGATGAAAACTCATCAAAAATTTTAAACTTATGTTTTGCATATTTTATAAATGAAAATTTTGTCATAAATCCTTGAGGAAATTTGCAAAAAAAGTTTGCCTTTTTTGCGATATTTGTCATATATTTTTTCTTATATCTATGAATGCAACTACCTCCCAACATTTGCACTATTCCAAGGCATTTTGCTCGGTAAAAATATTGCGTCCGGAGTCCGAACACAAGCTACGTCCGAATAATGGACGCGAATCACCTGGAACAGTTTCTTTTTTTCTCCTCTGCTCGGTCCAGTGTATCGCGTTGGTTGTCCAAGCATAGCTTTGCCTCCGGATTCCGGACCACCTGCACCAACTAATTTTCTAGCAGCTATTTATTTTGTTATCTTAGGAAAAACTCTTTGTGGGAGTTCTTTGATAGTTATAATTTCTATACAAATGTTATTGTTCTAAGGTTTTTCGGACAGAAAGATCCACATGCATTCCACTCAATTCCTATGTATTTACATATCCAACACCTAAGTTCATATTCATTCATGC